TCGGGCCGGCGGTACGTTCAGCCCGTGCTCAGTCACCACTACCGTAACCCCTGCCTGCGCGCTCCGTGTGATTTTTAGCTCTGTTTCTATTGCATTTTTGCTGCCTGCTTATCGTGAGGTGTTGCGGGGGCCGTGTCCAAACGCCTGCCTCTGAAAAGAGCAAAAACTACATACCATCAATGGCAGCAAATGTTCAGCCCAAGCAGGGAAGGAAGGAAGGCAGGCGGCAGCTTTGAGGGAAACAAATTGCTCAAATGTGTGTGCAAAGCGCTAGGATCTGAGCAGAGGAGCATCTCCAGGATGGGAACAGAGAGCTTTATAAAGGTATTTACACAGCTGTGAGAAACCACGAAGATGGAGAGAGGGACAAAAGGGAGGGAGAGGAGGGGACCTGGTGCCTGAAGGAGAGGTCAGAGCTGAGCAAGGTGACCGAGGAAGCACCTCTGAAGGGTTTTGTCCCTGCTCTGAGGACACCGAGGCAGAAAACAGCACAAAAGTGCTTGTTGTTTTACGCAGTGGAAAATGGGTGAATCCTAAACCAAGGTCTCTCACTAAAGGCAAGTCTGACGAGGGAATAGTTAAGGTAAGAAGTGGGGGGAGGTTAGTGCCAAGGAAGCCTATCAGAAAGAGACCAAGGATATCGTCTGAGGCCTGTCTACTGACTGAGGTGGCCTGAGACTACACAGCTCTTAGTGTGAAGGTTGGAACGTGCAAGCCAGGAAGTGTTCAGCAATATAAAAACACAGCTGTACTGAGCTTTCATACTGCTTTCAGTAATACATAGACTTGGCAAAACCCATGTCAAAGCGGTCATCCAGCAGCCCTGCTGGAATTGCCATACACGTTGATGTATCACACTGGAAAATTTGTAGTTGAGGTGAAGATAGTACCTGAAAATGATAGTGCTTATGGCATTAGGACACGTTGTAAAGCTGTCCTACCCACACTAGCAGTGTATTTGCTGTCTGTGAAAATTTCTCTAACAAAGCAGGCTATCTCACTTTCAACAAGAATGGAAAGCAGCATGGTTTGGCACAGATTCAGCATTCAAGCAAAAATTTGCCATCTCAGTGTAGTATCAGATTACTAAGAAGTTAATAAGGCCCCAAAGGTGTAAATGGTATCCTCCAAATGCTGATTAAAACAAGGATGAGCTTCTGAAATTTGGACCAGCTTAGACTAGTCACCATGTATGTCTAGAGTCAAAAGAATTTCAGTGTAAGAAGTAAAAAAAGGTTGATTTTTGGTATTATAATTATGGGAATAAGTAATGCTCAGAACAGTCTTTATTGTTTGGGTATCATAGGATAACTAAAGCAATCTGAAGATAAATACAGTTACTGCTGTAGACAACATAGCCAGGGAATATTTTCACGGCCCAGTGATAATTTTAACATTTTATTGATGTTTTAAGTCTCAGAAGAATGGAATGATATTATTATGTGTTCTATAGTGACTTATTTACAGTACCCCTGTTGCACTTCCAGCAAGTGTTTTCTTTTTAAAGTGGGAAAGATATAGAGACAGGCAATGAATAAGATGGGATGAATGGAAAGGGTGGTGTACAGGAAGAGAATGAAAATTTTAATCTTGTGCACAGCTACGGTTAACAGGAGGGGAACAGATTTATTTAAACAGTAGGTCAGCTATAGAATATACATGGGTGTCGTGGTTTAACCTCAGTTGGCAACTGAACACCCCACAGCCGCTCGCTCA